GCTTTTAAGGCATTCTTATGTAGTGTAGATGCCATTGTGCAGATTTTTCCCTGTGTGTAGGATCGGACACATTGGGGAGTTTTAAAAAAGAATATATAGTAAAAAAATTAATTCAGAGAATATGTGTCCCCCTCTTTAAGAAAAAAAAAGCACGCGCTGATATAAAGATGGGAGTGGGTTGGTGATGATGCTGGAATGGGTACCTTAAGAGAAGCCAGTGGAACCATAGGGAAGTGAGATATACAATTTCTTAAAGTTCAATAGCTTTCTGAAATTTGGTCGGGAAAGAACATTTCACACACACAAAAAGAATGTAAGAATTTATAACCTTGACCTTTGGCCATTTGAAAATTAATAGAGTTCTTCCCAAGGTAATAGAAAGCTGTGATATAAAATTTCATTTCAAAAGCTCAAAGAGTTTTTAGGAAATTATTTGGAAAAAACGTGTTAAAACAGATATTAATTTATGAACTTTGACCCTTTGACCTCAAAATTAATAGTCTTCCTTGGGCCACAGATAATTGTACTGTAAAATTTATAGCAATAGCTCAAGGTTCTTCAAGATAAATATTGCAGACATTCAGAATAACTTACTGACGGACAAACACACACTTAGTTTATATCCCCTAATTCCAGAGAAAGGGGCAAAAAATCTTGAAAATCTTCATTTTAAGAACAGCATTGGTATGATAAGTTAAATTTATATGGAAGCATCCTCGGGTAATTAAGATTTAATTTAAGTTCTAATCATGTCTGCCGAGGTTAGGATGGAGCCTCAATGGGGAATCAAAGATTTCCATAAGAAAAATCCAATATTTGCCGTATTGATTTAGGTGATCTAAAAATGCATATTGGTTGAAAAAAATGACATTTTAAGAGGAAGAACAAAATGACAAAAAATTAGCAATATCACATAGGCTGATTTTTACCATTTAGCTTTTCCTAATAAAATTCACCTGGCTTGATATATTTTTCTTAAGTTTATATTACACTTTTAGCACCAAGATAACATATTTTGAAATTTGTTTTCACCTGTAAACCTTTACTGAATGTGATTTGTCTATATTTGTTTTTTCATTGAAATATTACTAATATTTTCCATGTCTTTTTCATATTTCAGTTCTTAGGAGAAAAACGTTTAAGAACCGTCCACTTTTCTAAACTTGTGACATGATATTAAATCTTTTTCAAAGAAAAAAATTGTTTGTATCGGCTGTCCTTAATGCAATTTTGTTCTAATGAAGAATACATTTATTATGCAGTTTTGACGAATAGGTAACGTGATGCCATATTATTAATGTCCTCTGAACTTTTAAGCTGAAAAGAATGCAGCGGCTAGTCATTTATAATTTATAGTCAGAAAAAAATAATAGAAATAAACGCTTACTCTGCATTTGTAAGTCAAATTTAAATTCTACCAACATTTCAAATAGATCAGTACGTTTTATTTTCCATTTTGTGAATATTGACAGTTCTATACAATGACCAGGATTTTTTTTTTTGGCATTGAAAAAGATAAAAATAACATACAGTGTTCGATTAAAAAATCTTTCAACAAAACAAATCGAAGGGGGGGGGGGCATAAAACACGGATTTCTAGAACTTCCAGAGATGGAGACAAGTGCCTAGGAGGAATAAGATCATCCCCTGTTAATTTGTCATTCCCGCCTTGATCCCTAGATAGAGATCAGGTGGACGGAAAATTCCATAGTAATATTCAGTATAAAACAAGGTCTTGACAATGGGTATGAAAGAAGTAAGCCATAATACGACCCAATGACAGAACATATTGTAAACAAGGTAATTATAACGACTGAGTATTTATTGTAAAATGTCAGCTTTATAGGATATAGAATGCTGACATCCCTGTCACATCAACCGATCTGTCATCTATTTAAAATTTGCTCGTACTCAGGGCATGATAATGATTTTTCTATTTGAAGTCCACGTCCTCCTGCACATGGTTGGAATTTCGTTGTGTATTTATAGTGGTACTTAATTAACCATTCTAGAATTTCTAAGAAGAATTCGAAGAATTTATTTTAAAACTTATCTATGAGACGAAATCACTTGCTGTAGCCTTCAACTTGACATTGAACTATTGACGGCGTTATATAAATAAAAAAATAAACAAAAAATACTTAAATACATTTTTCGACATGGGATATCCCAAAATGAAAGTCAACATAAATTTTGCCAAGTCTTTTTCGTTTGGATGTTTCATTAACCAAACCAAAAATAGCCAACTAACAGCTTATATAATGAATGGTAACAAAGGAACTGCTTCTATTTTTCCATCTTCAATCTTCTTTTCTTATTCTGATTAATATTGTGGACATCATTGCAAGGAGATTATGCTCGTTATCTCCATATCCTTCATTCTTACATGATGTTCAGAATGCATGTTATACTTGATTTCAAAAAGAGGAGGAATTGGTTGCTGACCCATTATCTATCTAACAATCCTGTATTTGGACAAGTGGTTCTTCGAAAAAAAAGTCTGTCCTTGAATCAGATGTTTGATTAGATGTTGAAACAATGGACGCTTGGAAAAGAACCGTTACAAAGAGACCAAGTATTTTATAGAGAAAGTTAATTGATTGATTCGTAAGAAGGATATGGAGATAACGAACAGTATTCAATCTCAATGTCCATAAAACAATACAAAAGAAGAGCACAGCTAAAACATCAGGGGTGGGATCAGATGACATGGAGGAGTAAGCATCCCCTGTCGACCGGTCACACCCGCCGTGTGTTCCTTGTCATGATCGGGGAAAATCCATCGACAATTCAGTGGATAAATAATGGACTAATAATTAGTATGAAAAACGTCAGTCAGCATTTTACTCAATGATAAATTGTACTTGCTGACAAGGTCATTGTATCGACAGTAGAAAACGAGACGGTTTTAGAATTTAGACAATTTAGAAATTGTTCAGACGTAGAGCAAGCTCTTGCATATCGAATCAACTGAGATATAAATACTCCGTATGCAGGTGATGAAGGTATATTGCTGTATAAGTAAGGGAAGTTGACGATAGAAAAATTAAAGTCATCAGGTTTATCATATAGCTTGGTTGTTAGATTACCATTAACGTCTTTTTCAAATAAAATATCCAAGTATGAAACAGATGTGTCAGACTCTGTGGTATCTTTTATCTCAAGCTCACCAGGATATATCGTATCGACGTAGGAATGGAAATTACCATTGTTAATTGACAATACGTCGTCGATATATCTAAATGTCGAGTTGAAAGCCACAGCAAGTGTTTTCTACTTTTCACGCATAAGATTTTGCACAAATTCTGCTTCATATGAATATAAAAATAGGACCGCTAATAAAGGAGCGCAATTGGTACCCATGGGAATTCCAATAGATTGTTGGAATACCTGGTCTCCAAAAACCACTTAGATATTGTCAATCAGAAACTCAAGAATCTCTTTGATGTAACTTCAGAGTACTTATGTGTGCATCAAAATGTGTTTTAACAAAATAATTTTGCAAATGACCAATGACCAGGTAAAAAATTTCCCATGGACATGCAGAGTGGTTCAAAGAAAATCTAATTCAGGAGAAGAGACTTAAATCCCTTGATTGTGATCATCAGAAGGAAGTTGTCCTCAAACTAGCTGCAGATCTGTAGCGTTATGGTTTTATATATTTGTCTTTGAGCATAACGCTACAAATCCTGTAATGCAAAAAAGGTGCAATTTACGGCGCAATACTTTTTGCGCGCTTTTGGGGAGAAATTCTCCACTTTCAAGCATTGGTCAATCAACTACCGTTCACTCCCTAATTCTAGACACATTCTGTAGCCAATATGTATATTTTAATATACACCTCCCAACCATTTATAGTTGTCTCTACAGGCAATAAAGTCGCTAGAAGTGAATTTTCAGTGCAATATAACAAATAATTTTAATCAAGCGAGTTTTTCACTTGTAGAGACGAATATAAAGGGTTTGGAGGTGTATAAAATACACATATTGGCTACAGAATGTGTCTAGAATTAGGGAGTGAAAGGTAATTGATTGACCAATGCTTGAAAGTGGAGAAATTCTCCCCAAAAGCGCGCAAAAAATATTGCGCCGTAAATTGCACCTTTTTTGCATTACAGGATCTGTAGCGGTATGGTCAAAGACAAATATATAAAACCATAACGCTACAGATCTGCAGCTATCCTCAAACAAGATAGCTAGTGCTACAGTAAGAGAGACAAAAAAAAAAAAACTTTCAAAAATATCAGTTCAATGATCCGAAGAGTGGTACTTTCAGCAGTTTCCGTGGACGTAATATTGGATCTCTGGACGTAGTAGAGGATGTCATGATACATCTGATGTGTACAGTGATAAAACAGTACCTTTTATTGGTGACTCAGTCGCAATTAGTGAAATTGTGATGCCAGCCGTGAAAGGTTGTCTGGGTGACAAACTAGTACATGTAATTGTACTACTAGATACTGATGAATGTATTTGTGTTATGATTAAAGGTTAGAAAATGATAAGGAACTTTTTTAAAAAATATATAATAAATGCCGGTACATACACTTATATAAAAGAAGAAATATGACCTTTTTTAAAACGTGCTAACTTCAGCGAATTGTTATTTTTATTTTAATGAGGGTATTCGGACACCTAGAAAAACACATACGAGTATTACTCAAAATACACCATTATTCGATGCAGTGGCGTAGCATCGTTTTTGAAAGTGGGGGGGGGGGCAGCCAGAGAAAATTTTTTTATTACTTACCTGAAAAAGTTGACAAGCCCCCCCCCCCCTCCCCCCGGTTGCTACGCCCCTGCGATGAAACCTAGCGCCAATGGTTTACATTGTGGTCCTGAAAACTTTCAAAGAAAATTATATACAGAATCTGCAGCTAATACCTATATACGCAAAATGCATGTTCTTTCTCTCTTTCTTTCTCTCCATTTCAGTCGCGCTCTTGACCGAGATTGATCACGTGATCTGACCCCGAATGCGTCACACTGAGATTTGATTTCAATCGAATAGCAGTGTTTTGCATTTTGCTTCTGCAAAAAGCCTTCCAAGCGATTTATCCAAGCGTTCTTTCATCATCGAAGTCACAGAAGAAGATAACTTCAGTCTGAGGTAAGTTTATTTCTGCAGAAATCGTTAATTTTTAACTTAGTTAATAAAACAATTTTTGTTGACAACGTGAACATTAGTGAGTACTCGATTGTTCCCGCCGGCCGCCATTTTCAGGTCACGGTCCTATATATTATTTAGCCACACAATCTGATTGGTATATGAAATATTTGTTTACATTATTACCATACATTGTGATTTTAACATATTTATTAGTTCTGTGTTATTAGTAACAGTTTGAGTAAAAGGTGCAATAGCGGGAAATGTCTTCATGCATAATGACTGCGCATGCTCCTGGGCATGTTGGGAGGTATGTGGAAATTTTCTTCCACTCGACCTAAATTTCAGGTGTCTAAAACGTGTTTATGTAATATAAAACCAATACTTATTAATAATCAATGATAACAAAAGTCGTCATTGCCCATGTATTGGCCTGCTTAATCATTCTAGAGATGCTTTTTCAGGCGTGGATCAAGGATTTTTTTTTTACCAGGTCCACTTGAATAAACTTGGTAGGTTGTCATTTCACACAAAGATTGCCCATGACCAGGTCCACCCCTTTCAAAGAATATTCTTGACAAGCAGAAAAAAGAATGTTTAAGATTGCCCATGACCCAAGAGTGTGTCATGACCTTGACCCAAGGTCATTTGGGGAAGTTCAAGGTCACTGGAAGAAAAATTTCATAATTCATGTTTGATTCATATCTTTATTATGGAAAAACTTACTTCTGAAAAACCCAGCGGGGGGTATTTTGTCCCGTTTGGATAGTTCTAGTTCTAATAGCTTAGAAATTTTTTTTGTGATGGATGTCAAACTTTGTATGCTGATACATAATTGATGAGAGCCACTGGACAACCCCTTGATGTTACTTTTCTTAAATTTAGATTTTAGATATTTGTCTGAACTTGTTTTTTTTTACCTGTCTTTAATCTTCCTTGTGACTATCAATCTTGCTTAGTTGGATTTGAAAATCAATTTCAAAGACACTGTAATGAAGATATTTTCATCAAACTTCACACTTTTATAAATACATAAAAATAAACTGGTAAACTGGTGAAAGCTATGAAAACCTGTTACAATTTTTGCCTTTTATCTTCCTTAATTGTGACCTTGACCTCACAATTTTTATTCAAACATTTAAGAGATCTTTACCTTAGAAAGATATCTCCAAAAGTAAAAGAGATATCTCTCTAGGTGAAAGAGATATAATGTCACTTTAATGTAATCAGATATATATCTCTTTTCATGAAAGAGATATCTCTCAAGGAGAAAGAGGTATCTGTTCATGTGAAAGAGATATCTCTCAAGGAGAAAGAGGTATCTGTTCATGTGAAAGAGATATCGCTCAAGGAGAAAGCGGCATCAGTTCATGTGAAAGAGATATCTCTCTAATCAAAAGAGATGTCTCTCTAACTATAAGAGATATCTCTGAAACTTAAGGTTTAAGTTGAGAGATATCTCTTTTTTTTTTAAAAGAGATATCTCTCTAAATTGAGAGAAATTGAGAGATAATCTCTGTATAGCAAAAGGGCTTGCCATGACTTGGCCAATTTTGACCAAACTTGGTACAAAGCATCCTTATATTAAAGGAAGTTTAATTTGTCAATGTGAAGGACCAAGTCCTTTCCAAGGGAGATAATAAAAAAAAAGACAAAAATAGGATGGGGTCATTAAAAAATCTTCCTCTCATGAGCAATGTGGCCCATGGGTGTCTCGTTAAAGGCTAGTCCTACAGTTTTAGTCTTATTGCAATCTTTCCACATAAAAGAGACTTAATAAAAGATCATTTTTAGCTCTACTGGTCAGAGACCAGAAGAGCTTATGCGATAGTAATGCGTCCATCGTCCATCCGTCTGTCTGTCTGTCTGTCTGTAAACAATTTTTCAAAATGCTACTCCTCATACAGTTTTGGTGCGATTTCAGTAAAACTTGGCACACAAGTAGACTACACTAAGATACATAATTCTGTGCATCGGTTTTGGATTTCGATGAACGGTGTTGCCATGGTTACTAAAAAAAGAAATTTCTGTAAAATTCTTTCAAAATGCTACTCCCCCTACAGTTTTAGTCCAATTTCAATATAACTTGGCACACAAGTAGACTACACTAAGATACATAATTCTGTGCATCGGTTTTGGATTTCGATGAACGGTGTTGCCATGGTTACTAAAAATAGAATTTTCTTAGAAATTCTTTCCAAATGCTACTCCTCCTACAGTTTTGGTCCGATTTCAGTATAACTTGGCACACAAGTAGACTACACTAAGATACATAATCCTGTGCATCGGTTTTGGATTTCGATGAACAGTGTCGCCATTGGTTACTAAATATAGAATTTTCTTAGAAATTCTTTCAAAATGCTACTTCTCCTACAGTTTTGGTGCGATTTCCATATAACTTGGCACACAAGTAGACTACACTAAGATACATAATTCTATGCATGGGTTTTTGATTTCAATGAACGGTCTTGCCATGGTTACAAAAAATATAATTTTCTTAGAAATTCTTTCCAAATGCTACTCCTCCTACAGTTTTGGTCTGATTTCAATATAACTTGGCACACAAGTAGACTACACTAAGATATATAATTCTGTGCGTCGGTTTTGGATTTCGATGAATGGTGTTGCCATGGTTACTAAAAATAGAATTTTCTTAGAAATTCTTTCCAAATGCTACTCCTCCTACAGTTTTGGTCTGATTTTAATATAACTTGGCACACAAGTAGACTACACTAAGATACATAATTTTGTGCATCGGTTTTGGATTTCGATGAACGGTGTTGCCATGGTTACTAAAAATAGAATTTTCTTAGAAATTCTATCAAAATGCTACTCCTCCTACAGTTTTGGTCCGATTTCCATATGACTTGGCACACAAGTAGACTATACTAAGATGCATAATTCTGTGCATAGGTTTTTATTTTGATGATCGAGTGGCAAGGATCATTTTTCTATTTATTGCTGTTTTAAAGTCCCAACTGCTACTTTTCTCTTCCTTTGTTTTAAGTATAAACCAGTAGAGCTACAGTCTCGACAGAGACTTCTGGTTCTTTTTATAATTTTATTGCTTTTGAAAAGTTTCAAGTTCCTGCTACTTTTCTCTTCCTATGTTTTACATGTAAATACAAACCTGTAGAACTACAGTCTAGACAATGCAAGTTTGATGTTACATATACTTATGAGAGGCGTAGTCACAAACTTAAAGGTGGGGGGGCCTCAAATCCAGAAATTCTTTGACAAGCAAAAAAAAAAAGATTGAAAGTTCCCCAAACTCAAAAATCCTATTCGTGGGGGCAGGGGGCCAACTTCTCAAAGGCACGTTACTTTCAATTCCAATTTTTAGCTCTACTGGTCAGAGACCAGAAGAGCTTATGCGATAGTAATGCGTCCGTCGTCCGTCCGTCTGTCTGTCTGTCCGTCTGTCTGTAAACAATATTTCAAAACGCTACTCCTCCTACAATTTTAGTCTGATTTCAATATTACTTGGCACACAAGTAGACTACACTAAGATACATAAAATAGTGCATCGGTTTTTAATTTCGATGAACGGTGTTGCCATGGTTACTAAAAATAGAATTTTCTGTGAAATTCCTTAAAAATGCTACTCCTTCTACAGTTTTGGTCTGATTTAAATATAACTTGGCACACTAGTAGACTACACTAAGGTACATAGAATAGTGCATCGGTTTTTGATTTTGATGAACGGTGTTGCCATGGTTACTAAAAATAGAATTTTCTGTGAAATTCCTTTAAAACGCTACATCTTCTACAGTTTTGGTCTGATTTCAATATAACTTGGCACACTAGTAGACTACACTAAGATACGTAGAATAGTGCATCGGTTTTTGATTTCGATGAACGGTGATGCCATGGTTACTAAAAATAGAAATTTGTGTGAAATTCCATTAAAACACTACTCCTCCTACAGTTTTGGTCTGATTTCAATATAACTTGGCACACAAGTAGACTACACTAAGATACATAGAATAGAGCATCGGTTTTTGATTTCGATGAAAGGTGTTGCCATGGTTACTAGAAATAGAAATTTGTGTGAAATTCCATTAAAACACTACTCCTCCTACAGTATTGGTATGATTTCAATATAACTTGGCACACTAGTAGACTACACTAAGATACATAGAATAGTATATCGGTTTTTGATTTTGATGAACGGTGTTGCCATGGTTACTAAAAATAGAATTTTCTGTGAAATTCCTTTAAAACGCTACTCCTTCTACAGTTTTGGTCTGATTTAAATATAACTTGGCACACAAGTAGATTACACTAAGATACATAGAATAGTGCATTGGTTTTTGATTTCGATAAACGTTGTTACCATGGTTACTAAAAATAGAATTTTCTGTGAAATTCCTTTAAAACGCTACTCGTTCTACAGTTTTAGTTTGATTTCAAAATAAGTTGGCACACAAGTAGACTACACAAAGATACATAAAATAGTGCAATGGTTTTTGATAAGTACAAACCAGTAGAGCTACAGTCTCGACAGAGACTTCTGGTTATTCCCACAATTCTTCGATATCACTATACTATGGTAAAAAAAAAGGGCCCCCTTCAATGAACATTTCCTGTAGTCAAGGTAATGTTGGGGAAAAAAGTGGGGGGTTGGGGGGGTGGGAAGGTCTTGACGATTTAATTACTATATTACATTACTATATTATACAACTATTACTTCAGGCCATCCTTAAAAAAATGTTTGTTTGGAATTGCCGCCTGGGGGTTTTCAGACCCAGGAGGGAGGGAATTTATTTTTTTTTTTACAAATTGAAGCTAATTAATAGAAATTAAAAATCGCAATGAACAGTGGTGATTTTTGTTAATTTCCCTCTTTCTTTTATTTGATTAATATCATTTTTGTCTAAAATATACACAGAACGATACTCAAGTATCAATCTTTCTTCGATGTTAGATTTGCTTATCTATTAAAAGTCAAATTTCAGCGTCAAACTTTTTTCTTTATTTTAACAATCTTTTTAAAACAATTTCTTTACAAATATTTTTAAAACAATTTCATTGGTGTATTTCATAGCATGTCTCTTTGAAATTTAGCCCTTCATTAAGACAACCCTTACAAAGAGTGCGAACCACACAAAATTACTTAAGAATGGTTGGGATGTTTTGTGGAAAAAACGGGAGGGGGTGCTTGGTATGTTCTAGAGTGTTAGCCATGAATAAGTTTTAACATTAGGTGTCAAAGACTTGTCATACTGACAGACAACATTTTTAGCTCTACTGGTCAGAGACCAGAAGAGCTTATGCGATAGTAATGCGTCCGTCGTCCGTCCGTCTGTCTGTCCGTCTGTCTAGCTGTCCGTCTGTCTGTCTGTCTGTAAACAATCTTTCAAAATGCTACTCCTCCTACAGTTTTTGTCTGATTTCATTATAACTTGGCGCACAAGTAGACTACACTAAGATACATAATTCTGTATATCGGTTTTTGATTTTGATTAACGGTGTTGCCATTGTTACTAAAAATAGAAATTTCTGTGAAATTCTTTCAAAATGCTACTTCTCCCACAGTTTTGGTCTGATTTCAGTATAACTTGGCACACAAGTAGACTACACTAAGATACATAATTCTGTATATCGGTTTTTGATTTCGATGAACGGTGTTGCCGTGGTTACTAAAAATAGAAATTTCTGTGAAATTCTTTCAAAATGCTACTTCTTCTACAGTTTTGGTCTGATTTCAATATAACATGGCACATAAGTAGACTACACTAAGATACATAATTCTGTTTATCGGTTTTTGATTTCGATGATTGGTGTTGTCGTGGTTACTAAAAATAGAAATTTATGTGAAATTCTTTCAAAATACTACTCCTGCTACATTTTTGGTCTGATTTCAATATAACTTAGCACACAAGTAGACTACACTAAGATACATATTTCTGTGTATCGGTTTTTGATTTCGATTAACGGTGTTGCCGTTGTTACTAAAAATAGAAATTTCTGTGAAATTCTTTCAAAATGCTACTCCTCCTACAGTTTTGGTCTGATTTCAATATAACTTAGCACACAAGTAGACTACACTAAGATACATAATTCTGTATATCGGTTTTTGATATCGATTAACGGTGTTGCCGTTGTTACTAAAACTAGAAATTTCTGTGAAATTCTTTCAAAATGCTACTCCTCCTACAGTTTTGGTCTGATTTCAATATAACTTGGCACACAAGTAGACTACACTAAGATACATAATTCTTTTTATCAGTTTTTGATTTCGATGAACGTTGTTGCCGTTGTTACTAAAAATAGAAATTTCTGTGAAATTCTTTCAAAATGCTACTCCTCCTACAGTTTTGGTCTGATTTCAATATAACTTGGCAAACAAGTAGACTACACTAAGATACATAATTCTGTATATCGGTTTTTGATTTCGATGAATGGTGTTGCGATGGTAACTAAAAATAGAAATTTCTGTTAAAAACTCTCAAAATGCTACTCCTCCTGCAGTTTAAGTCTGATTATAATATAATGTGGCATGCAAGTAGACTATACTAAGAACATAAAGAGACTTAATCAAGGATCATTATTCTTTTTATTGCTGTGGTAAAGTTTCAATTCCCAACTGCTTAAGAACTTTTCTCTTCCTTTGCTATAAGTACAAACCAGTAGAGCTTCAGTCTCGACAGAGACTTCTGGTTCCTTTTGTATTTGGGAATAAACATTTCTGACCCTGTAATTTTTAGCTCTACTGGTCAGAGACCAGAAGAGCTTATGCGATAGTAAGGTGTCCGTCGTCCGTCCGTCTGTCTGTCTGTCTGTCCGACTGTCTGTAAACAATTCTTCAAAACGCTACTCCTCCTACAGTTTTGGTCTGATTTTAATATAACTTGGCACACAAGTAGACTACACTAAGATACATAAAATAGTGCATCGGTTTTTGATTTTGATGAACGGTGTTGCCGTTGTTACTAAAAATAGAATTTTCTGTGAAATTCCTTTAAAATGCTACTCCTCCTACAGTTTTGGTTTCATCTGATTTCAATATAACTTGGCACACAATTAGACTACACTAAGATACATAAAATAGTGCATCGGTTTTTGATTTCGATGAAAGGTGTTGCCATAGTTACTAAAAATAGAATTTTCTGTGAAATTCCTTTAAAATGCTACTCCTCCTACAGTTTTCATCTGATTTCAATATAACTTGGCACACAAGTAGACTACACTAAGATACATAAAATAGTGCATCGGTTTTTGATTTCGATGAAAGGTGTTGCCATAGTTACTAAAAATAGAATTTTCTGTGAAATTCCTTTAAAACGCTACTCCTTCTACAGTTATGGTCTGATTTCAGTAATACTTGGCACACAAGAAGACTACACTAAGATACATAAAATAGCGCATCAGTTTTTGATTTCGATGAACAGTTTTGCTATTGTTACTAAAAATAGAAATGTCTGTGAAATTCCTGATGGCAATTGCTTCTTTTCTCATCCTTTGTCATAAGTACAAACCAGTAGAGCTACAGTCTCGACAGAGACTTCTGGTTTTACTGAGGGAACTGAACGATCATTTTTAATTTCAACATGAAGGACTTATCCTATCAAGTTCAAAGGCAATCTATTACAATAGCTCTTTCCAGGTACTGGTGTATCATTCAATTTAATGTTTTATTCATCTTTTATTTTTATGAAGATGCATAAATGTTCTGGTCTTCAACGCTTGAATGTTTTCACATCCACTGATCCAACTTGGTCTGACATTTCGGCAGCTTTCATTTTTAGCTCTACTGGTCAGAGACCAGAAGAGCTTATGCGATAGTAATGCGTCCGTCGTCCGTCCGTCTAGCTGTCCGTCTGTCTGTCTAGCTGTCCGTCTGTCTGTAAACAATTTTTCAAAATGCTACTCCTCCTACAGTTTTGCTCTCATTTCAATATAACTTGGCACACAAGTAGATTATACTAAGATACATAATTCTGTGTATCGGTTTTTGATTTCCATAAACGGTATTGCCGTGGTAACTAAAAATAGAAATTTCTGTGAAATTCTTTCAAAATGCTACTTCTCCTACAGTTTTGGTCTGATTTCAATATAACTTGGCACACAAGTAGATTACACTAAGATACATAATTCTATATATCGGTTTTTAATTTCCTTGAACGGTGTTGTCATGGTTACTAAAAATAGAAATTTCATTAAAATGGTTTCAAAATGCTACTCCTCCTACAGTTTTGGTTTGATTTCAATATAACTTGGCACACAAGTAGGCTGCACCAAGATACATAATTAGATTTATCGGTTTTTGATTTCCATGAACGATGTTGTCGTGGTTACTAAAAATAGAAATTTCTGTAAAATTGTTTCTAAATGCTACTCCTCCTACAGTTTTGGTCTGGTTTCAATATAACTTGGCACACAAGTAGACTACACTAAGAACATAAAGAGACTTTATCAAGGATCATTGTTCTATTTATTGCTGTTGTAAAGTTTCAATTCCCAATTGCTTAAGTACTTTTCTCTTCCTTTGCTATAAGTACAAACCAGTAGAGCTTCAGTCTCGACAGAGACTTCTGGTTTCAAATCGCCACCTATATTCCCTCAATCTCCCATGCAGAGTTCTCGTTCGTTCCTCTCCCATGAGCAGATGGTAGAGAGTGATATTCCCTTTATCATAAATACTATGAAGAAAGCGTTTTATTGACCGGTGTTGTTAAATTTATGTGAGCTCAAACCCGACTTTAAAATGCTATTTCGAAGAACGAACTTACGTGAAAAAGCGATGTCGGACATAAGACGGTAAAAAAAAAATTTCCAATATTTTGCCAATAAAATTTTTTAAGCGGGGGGTATTTCAATGAGGTGGGCGGCAATTCCAAACAAACTATAATTTTATTTTGGCCTCAAGAGAAATGCTTACTCATTTGTTGAACATAAAACGTGGGGGGGGGGGGGGCACAGACATACTCTTGCCACCCCAGATCTGAAAGTGGGGGTGCTAGTGCCCCCGCGGCCCCTCCCTTCCCCCCCCCCCCCCCCCCCCCCCCGTGACTACGCCTATGCTTATAATATTAAGAACCAGGAACAGGCACTTCTCCTTTGTTATAAATTAAATGTTTAAATGTTTTTCGTTATAATCTTTATTTAAGTTTTAAAATATTTTAAAGCAGTTGGGAATGAAAACTGGTAAGCGTCAATACATCATAAACCAGTTTGCTATAAGGGTGTTTCACTGTATTTTGAGTTTCAAGAAAAAAAAATTTTTTAAATGAAGATTTTATTTTTATAGAATGGAGCCTAGACGATCTACACGAGTTCGACAGCGCCCCCGGTGGTTCGCCGACTACGTTGTGGACTTTCCTGTAAGTGATAAAAGATTAACTTGTAACAAATTTTATTTAAGAAGTAGGGGGAGGGGCAGAGAAGAGAATTAAAGTGTTGTTTGTGATTTACACCCCCCTCTCTGAATGCAAAAATCGGAAGATTAAATTTTGTAGTTACAGTCCCTGAAACGTTCTACTTTCCCACCTGAACAGAGAATGAACGCTGAACAAACGGTGAACGAACGCAGAGCGAACAGTTAGTGAACAATGTGCGAACAGTGAACGCAAATTGGTGAACGCAGAACGAGAACGTGAACGCAAAGTGAACGGTGAACGCAAGTTAAACGATTTATTCGGAATGCCTCCAATCTTTTCCTTACATTGAAATTATTCTTTAATTCTAATTTCAGGTGCTTTAATATAAATACACAGTAAATAAATAAATAAATAATAAAAACATTTTTTTCTGTACATATATGCCTATGATTTAAATCGATAGTTTTATAACACAATTTTCATTGCCGTAAAACATGTGTATTTGTTACCGAACATGTGTAGTTTAAATATAAAATTAATCTATTTATTTATATAGTAAATTTGCTTATCTTTTCACTAATAAAAAAATGTGGACTAATTAGAAGATAAAACTACTACTTATAGAATGAATTAATTACATTGTACTCGGTTGAATCAACCATACATGTATTTACGTGCCAATTAAGGCGACTCTGAGTAAAATATATACGGATTTTTTTTTTGAATTCACAATTGTCTGTTGACTTATTGCATAAAACCTCTTGTTTTTTAAAATTTGAATGCAAAATATTCTTACCGTAATTATGTGTCTTTTGTATTCTTTTATGATGATTTTTTTAGCTAACTTCTACATGTATATGTAGACATTTCCCGGCCGTGATTATACTCGGCAAGATGATGGAAATTAAGAGGAATTCAAAAATTATTTGTAAATTTTCAAAACTAAATAAGTAATGTGCTGTCGTAGTTTTTATTGAACAGAGATATTTAAAAGAGAGAGAGAGAGATACTTCTCAATTCTCAGATATATGTTGTATTAAATAAAAATTCTTATTATTTTTCCTAAATATTCCAAGCAGTAAAGGTAATAATTTTTTTTAGATTAGCAAATCCATTTGACAGTAATCATTGGCTTTTTTTCCGTCATCAAGTTCACAGGAAGTGCACGTGTGTTTCTCCTGTCACTCAATTATCAATGACGACACAGTGGAGGCGTGGAAATCACGTTTCACCGAACATGCCGAAGGCAGTCACTTAGTATTTCCAAGAAGTTTTAATATTTTTCCCTATCATTTCTAGATCTGATTTTTGCATTCCAGCAGAAAAATAAATAAATAATGGGAATATATACTTGGAAGGATTAAGTTTTAAATTGAGTTTAAAACATATTCCCTGCCAATTTAAAACTACTGTCGGCACAAGTGTATTCTAAATTACTATTGTTTAATGACTGTTTGATGTTGGTTTTAAGACTGATTTTCTTGTGGTACAATATACATTACATACGTATTAGTTAAATACTGAAAATACTCACTAAAAATTTTATTCCTGGAGAAAAGGCGGGGGGGGGGGGGGGGGGGGTCTTAATTATACTGAATGGCAAACATATATTTAGGTACGGTGAAAGAAGGAATTTTCCTTTTCTAATAATAGACTATTTTAAACAGTTGGTCTTTTCTAAAATTTAAAATCATGCTATCAATTTAATTAGGTCTAAAGATATTTAATGAAGTAAAATTATCTGCAGTACTGTTCATACTTCTCAGACCTACGTGTAGTTTAAAATACGTGTTACTGTAGAAATATTTTTTGGTGTATTCTTGTCTTGTAAAAGTCACTTGGATTAATTATTATACATTCATTAATGATTTGTCGTCTTTAACATTGCAAAAAATTTTTGCCGTGCGTGAAGCATTTGTACACTCCCCTATTTTAAATTTAATATTTTAGCATTGTTCTACATACATGTAGGTTATACTTAATGTATTATTTTCCAGGGAAATTTCATGAATAAAGTAACAGCTGAATTATAATAATAGAAATATAAATATCATAGATGATTTTGCAATGAAATAATTCTTCAAACACGATGTCTAAGTTATTTAATTAATTAACGTGTAAATCCTTACCATCAAAAAGATAAGCCCTTTCACTTCGGAGTTCCGAATGACAATGAAGACTGAACGATAAGTGAACAGTGAATGCAAAGTAAACGGAACGAAGAGCGAACGGTGAACACGAGCGCACGGTGAACCATGAACGCAATACTGTGAATGGAGAGAAAATGGAGAACGCACGCTGAACGAACGGTGAACGAATGCTGAACGAACGGTGAGTGAACGGAAAAATGGGAAAGTAGAACGTTTCAGGTTTGTATCTCACCTCTTTCCTTTAGGCAGTAAATAATGCAGGGACTGCGGACAGACATCGACATATCCAGGTTGTTGACATATCTGATCTCCAGATACCAAAGTTTACCTGTATTTGCTTACCTCCCCAGTTTCTTTCGCCAAACTTAAACATAATGGCTATAACTTTTGAACAATTAGTGTTACCTGGGGCCTCTATATTACACAGGTGTATGCATTTTAATTGTGACCTAACCTTTTTCTGGTGATGAGACTTCTGATTAGTTATTGTCATCTCTCACAAGAGATGACACATTAAGTTTGATTTCCGGATGTGAAGTCACAGTGTAAGCTGCCATTTATCCATCGGCAATCCTCTGTCAGCTGACTCCACTACGATCCATAGGCCGCACGAGGATTACCGACTTTATAGTTTGATGATGATGCGATTTTCTAAATATAGATCGAGATGTAAACAATGAGCGATCTGCCTTATTATTTTAAGGAAAAAAACAATCTGTGCATCATAAAGAGTCAGACACACAAAAGCGCCTGGGTGGTGGGGGTTCTTCAAATATACTGTAAGCATGGAAATTTTGACGATGTGCTAATTTTGACTATATTGACGATTTTTCTTTTCTCGTCAAAATTTACACTCGTCAAACTTCTTATCATATACATAGAGTCACAACAGACATTGACCATTGTACAACTTTACCGCTAAATTTTCACGGCTTTTCCTTTTACAACTAGATCAAAGTCACTGTTAATTTCTTTTGTAATTAGTTATGAAAACATAGTGATTGTATAATCACATTTTTAAAAATCATTGAATCTAAATTAGTGTATCAAATACTGCATGCGTAACTTCGCGTAATTATCATGCCGTGCTTGACCTAGTTTGTCACCTCGTGCAATTGACCGCTTATAATGAAATCAAATTACAAGAGGGCAATTTATCTAATCAAATCTTACACACGTAGATAGTTTGTACAAAAATTAAATTTTTGTGATTCCGACGCTGCCTTAATTTGTATCCCCGTGAATTCAAAGATTTGAAACTCAAGATTAAATATTTCGTCAAAATTAACGCTCGTCAATTTCCGTAAACAAAAAATCGTCAATTTTTCAACTTGTCAATATAACCACGTTTACAGTACATGTTGCATGCACTACACATATGTTCTCATGTTAAGTAAACATAAATGGTGGTGTGAACTTGATGGAATTTTCTTAGTAGGTCAGCGCATCTGCAAAGATCCTCTGCGGCCGATGCGTGGATCCAAGAATTCACAGAAAAACAACATCAAATTTAAAACATTCATATACTGAAAGGAAAAAGAAATGCAGGGTAAACTTTTGAAGTGAATTAAATTTGTTTTTTGTGTAATTTTTTTCAGTTTTCCTATTGAACATTTAAAATCATCTATCAAAAAGATATGACCAAAATCACATTTGATTTTGTTTCATAATTAATGATTTATTTGAGCTCATTTGACGATACCCCCCAAAAGTGAAAATCAAAAACTTTCATTATCTTCAAAGTCTCTCCCGCGCATCTTTAATGAGCCTTAATTATTTCTCCTTTGCATGAATTTTATCAGAGTGTTCATCTTTCAATCCCTGGCTATATTGAACATGGGTTGCCATGCCAAAAAATTAGTCATACGACGCGCGCATGCACCAGTGAGAGGAATACAACAGTAAGTTAATCGGCTCAAAAAACCAAATTGCGGAATTGTTTTCTTTCATTTGTCATGTGAATGTAAAGATTACAATAGTCTACTGTATAAATGGTGGTTTTTGTAGTAGTAAGGTGGCGATTTAAGAGATGAAAGGCCGAATAACCCGCTCTTAACATGACTTCGTTTTGCGTTAACGTCATCGTCACGGTTGATTGAAAACCATTCCAGGCCCTCTCTGACAACGGGTAACAAGTTTTATGGGGAAAATGTTAACGAGAAACTGCTTAGTTACCCGTTGTTGCCATTTTCATTAATTGGGCAATTCGAAAACCATGGAACTTTCGTAAACTGTAACAAGATTGCAAGAAATTCGAATCGTCTGTAGGTGTTGAAAAACGATGTGTATACCTTAGGTGCATCAAATGGTGCAACAAGATTTGTTGACAAACTCTTGAATCTTCAAATTGCACATGTTTTGTGTTTTTTAGTGTTTTCCCAACGTGACGTCATACATTTTACGATTGAGTAATTCTGAACACTGATTTTGGTCCATAATTACTAAATTTCTCATCTGATCAAATTTCGTAATTTTTGGATATGCGGTAAAAAAAATATCAGATATTATGCTACCCTGCGTTTCTTTTTCCTTTCAGTATATAAGTAATCGCATTTAAATGATATGGATTGATGGCGAAAACTTAGGTTCATTAGTCATTCTATAAACTTGCTGTAATTTCTTAAAAATGATACATTTAAGTTTAATTAGCAATCGAATGAATAGGAGGAAAGCCTGAAACTTCAGAAATTAAAAGCACATGTTAAACTGTATATGAGCAGATACATTAATGTCTATAAGAAACTTCGACTGACATTGGAAGATTAAAGAACACAAAGAAGCAATAGTAATTTTTTTGCATATCTTATCTATTTTTTTAAGGAGTTTATAAATTTCATATTTATAATTAATTAAAGAACTTGCAAATCATTTTCTTAGCCGCAGAACTGTATAGCTCTCCGAACAAATATATTGACAGACCGGAGAGCTACAGTGCCACCAATTGAAAAAAACTGTATATTTATTGCGCACAAAAATTTGCGCTTGGTTCTGGATAAATTCTTGCCTCAATTGCAAAAACGGTGAACTTAAAGAAATTTCTTACCTTTTTATCAAGTGCTCTCGTAGTTGTCATCTGCACGAAGCGCGTTAGACCGAATTATCTTGCAAATAAAAAAAAAAAACCTGATTTTTTTTAATCTTGCAAACAATTTTTTTCGATCATCTCATTTTCAGGGCCAGGAGGGCTATAAACAATAATAATAAGGAATGTTTTGTTGTTGAAACAGCGAAAGAATATGTTAGGATCACAAGTTAAATTAGTATTATTTTAAGATGAAATTTTGATGAGGATGGAGAAATAAAAGGAGAAAACAGCGCATTTTTTGTGCGCAATAAATATACAGTTTCCAAAAATGAATTTGTTAAAATATTTCCTTCCTATCCATAGCATAGGATTTTTATTTTTTTTATGCGCCCGGATCGATAGATCCCGGACGTATATTGTTTTTGTCCTGTCTGTTTGTCTGTTTGTCTGTTTGTCTGTCGTCAACTTTAACCTTCGCCATAACTTTTGAACAATAAGAGATAGAGACTTCAAATTTGGTATGCATACTCCACTAATAAAGTCCTTTCAAATGATATCAAGGTCAATGACCTTGTGACCTTGACTGTGACCTATATGTTAAAAATAGCTTTTTCCACTGTTTGTCATAACTTTTGAAGCATAGGAGATAGGGACTTCATATTTGGTATGCATACTCCACCGATAAAGTCCTTTCAAACGACAGCAAGGTCAATGATCTTGTGACCTTGACTGTGACCTATATGCTAAAAATAGCTTTTTACACTTTTTGCCATAACTTTTGAACCATAGAAGATAGGGACTTCATATTTGGTATGCATAATCCATCGATTAAGTTCTTTCAAATGACACCATGATCAATGACCTTGTGACCTTGACTGTGACCTATATGCTGAGAATAGCTTTTTCCACTGTTTGTCATAACTTTTGAAGCATAGGAGATAGGGACTTCATATTTGGTATGCATACTCCACCGATAAAGTCCTTTTAAACGACGGCAAGGTCAATGATCTTGTGACCTTGACTGTGACCTATATGCTAATAATAGCTTTTTACACTTTTTGCTATAACTTTTGAACCATAGGAGATAGGGACTTCATATTTAGTATGCATACTCCACCGATTAAGTTCTTTCAAATGACACCATGGTCAATGACCTTGTGACCTTGACTGTGATCAATATGCTAAAAATAGATTTTTTGAACTTTGTTGCCGCCGGGCGCATAGTGTTTCACAAACACATCTTGTTTCTTTCTAATATTGTTCAGATAAAATGCCACTCCCCTTCCCTAGAGGAATAATAGAGAAAAATCTGTAATAGCTGAGAAAATTACATTCCACTCTTTATTCTGTGACATCAACGATGCCAAAGAGATGACATTTTGAAGGCTTTCTGGAAAGCCAAACTTGTATATATTTATTATTTGTATTCCAGTCTTTGATATGGTCTTTTTTCCATTTAGGTGCGAAGGTCCAGGGTGAAGCCGATGTTGGAGGCTGATGATGTTCCTCAGCAGCCTGAGAAGGTGGTGGTACTGCCTCTTCCTGAGCCTTTACACGAGCTTCCTGTGGAGAAGCTAAGGCAGGCTGAAGAGGTGACTGAGTTATCTCCTCAACCTGTGATGGCTGATCCAGAGGTAGAACTTGTTCAGCTTGAGGAAGAGTGTCTGCCATCCCCTGGGCCTGTCATAGCCCTTCCTTGGCCAGAACTTGACCAGACTGTGGAGATGGCACCGCCATCTCCTCAGCCTACTCAGGTTCTAGTTGAGGAGGAGGCTGAACAGACTGAGGAGGTGGAACTGCCGTCTCCCCAGGTTGTTGTGGGTCATCCTCGGCTTTCTAACCTCGGGTCACCGGTGACAGAGATCCCTCCTGTGCAGCCATCACCTGTGAGGGAACCTGAGAGGCGAGGCTTTACCGCAGGGTTGGTGCGACATTTGGTTCACACTGCGGAGGTCTCTTTGGTAAGTGGTCTCACCATTGTCCCTTTTTTCTCTTCCTTTATTGGCTTTAATTTCGGTTTGTAAGGTATAAAAGTGATGTAAATGTATTTAAATAAGGGTAAATGATTTGTAAATTCCTAAATTTTCCTTAAATTTAGATCATATGAGAGTTTAATCAATAAGTTTAAATTTAGACCATTCTAGAGTTTAAATAAGTTTATATTTACATCATACTTAAATTGAAATAAGTTTAGATTAAAATCCTACTAGAGTTTAGTTAGGTTTAAGTTTAGATCATATGAGAATTAAAATAACTAAGGATGTTAGATAAGTTAAAATTAAGACCATACAAGGGTTTAAATAAGTTAAAATTTATAGCCATACTAGAGATTAAATAAGTTAAAATTTATAGCCATTCTAGAGTTTAAATAAATTTAAATTTAGACCATACTAGGGTTTTAATAAGTTTAAATGTAGCCATTATACTAGAGTTTAAATAAGTTTAAATGTAGACCATACTAGAGTATAAATAAATTAAAAAATGCATCATAATAAGTTTAAGTTAAAATTTTAATGATACTCGAGTGTAAATAAGTTTAAATTTAGACCATACTAGAGGTAAATTTAGACCATACTAGAATTTAAATAAGTTTGAATTTAAACCATATAAGAGTTGAAATATTTAGTTAAGCCCACACTATACTTCAAATAGGTTAACATTTAGATCGTACTAGAATTAAATAAGTTTACATTTACTCCATGCTAAATTTAAATTAGTTTTTTTGAATTTATTTTTTTTCTTCTTGTGGATACTCTACATCTAAATATTTCATTGCAAGCACACACCGTTATTTAGATGTAGTTATTCAGGAGAATAACTAAATTAGTGTTAATTAATTAAGGCATAATTCAGATGCAAAACAGCTGGGTCCAAGGCAAAATTAGAATTTAAAATAAATAAATCAATAATAAGATGTTACTGAATTTATGAGTTTTCCTAAATTATCTTAAGGAGTGATAAAATTTCCTTCAACTAAAATAACTTAAAATTAATAATTACTAGGTTTAAATTATTCTTAAACTATCTTTAACTAAGCCATTAATTAATGCTAAAAACCTTTCTTCTTGTTTTCGTGTTTAATTATAGTAGTTTATCATTAAAGCTCACATTCATTTCTTTATCAGTGTTTCCTCTTGATTGTAGCATATATAAATAGGATTAAATTTATTTTCCATTAAATTCAAATTTTAATATGGTAAAAATATTAAAGTTATTCAAGTTATCTTAAAAGAAAAATAAAAATTATTAAAATCCTACCAAGAAGGTTTTCATTAAACAGAGTGTTCTTTTTTTCCCATTTCCATTACTTCCCGTGTGTGCATGATGGGTTTAGTATTTTTGTAATTTTTTGTAATTTATTTTTTATGTATACTGTGCATTCATTTTATGTATATATAATATAGGCCCTGTTCATTGTAAACCACATTTCAATATATAGTTATATTATGGATCACTTTTTGTACCCTACTGCAAGAGCGAATATTGATTTTGGTCTGACGGTCCGTCCATCTGTCCGTAACACTCATTTTCACGCGATATCTCGAGATACATTCTATTTGTGCGTAAATCTCTAATATCCGATAGATATCTTAAAGAGCTAGCTTTTGAGTATTTGTAAATTTTATATAACTCCCTATGACCCACCTTTCTTAAAGTGCTCCCTCAATTCCCCCTTTTAGATCCGTGCATGATCTCTTCCTTCAGCTTAAAAGTTCCCATTTAATTTTTTTCCTGATTGTGATGTTCATTATGCGATAATTTCATCTTAATTAATACAGTATTTTTTGGTAATTCTTAATTTATAGGGGGTCCCAATTTTTATAGTAGGGTTCCATCTTTTTTCCTTTCCTTAATGTATTACTTTTCAATCAATATTTTGTTTGCATGTATTTCATATTGTTTAGAAAATTGTATTTGTATTTAATAGATATTGTTTTGTATTTTTGTCTCGCCTGCGACGAATGTCGCGAAGCGAGACATAGCGACCATAGATTCCGTCGTCGTCGTCGTCGTCGGCGTCCAACTTTTGGTTAACCCAAATGTCAAAGTTTTATAAACTGCAATAACTTTCTCAAATTTTATTCAGTCTTCTTGAAATTTGGACACAATATTCAGTATGGATAAAAATTTATATCCCAAGTATGATTTTGAAAAAAAAAATTCAAATTTTTCCGTATTTTTTCCTTAAGTTGGACTTAGTTTTTTCATGATAATTTATGGTGAAGACCTATATTCCAGCAACTATAAGTTATAGGGATATGATAATTAGTCAGTGGATACATCATGGGTAACCACAAACGTCAGTACCAGAATTAGGTCATCTTGACCTACATTTTTCTGCATGAGTGACTTTGGTTAAATTTTTGGTGGAGGTCCATATCTCAGCATCTATAACTTATAATGGCATGATGATTTGTCATTGTACAGGTTATAAGTAACCAACAACATCAGTACCAGAATTAGGTCATTTTGACCTACATTTTTCTGCATGAATGACTTTGGTTAAATTGATAATGGAGGTTCATATTTCAGCAACTATAACTTATAGTGGCATGATAGTTAGTCAGTGGATACATCATGGGTAACCACAAACGCCTGTACCAGAATTAGGTCATCTTGACCTACATTTTTCCGCATGAGTGACTTTGCATAAATTTATGGTGGAGGTCCATATCTCAGCAACTATAACTTATAGTGGCATGATAATTTGTCAGTGGATACATCATGGGTAACCACAAACGCCTGTACCAGAATTAGGTCATCTTGACCTACATTTTTCCGCATGAGTGACTTTGCATAAATTTATGGTGGAGGTCCATATCTCAGCAACTATAACTTATAGTGGCATGATAATTTGTCAGTCTACACATCATGGGTAACCAACAATATCAGTACCATAATTAGGTAATCTTCACCTACATTTTCTGCATGAATGACTTGATACATATACAGTGGATTTGATTTCAAAATGCAAGTTCAAATTATTGCGACTCATAACACGTTGCAATATTCGCAATAATAAAAACATCACAATAATTTGTGAATTTACAGGGTATATGTATATATATATAAATGCCAATATAATCGCCAAGGGATTAGATATTAAGTCAGCTGTTCCATTTCTTTATTATTGTATTTTTGAGTTATTCCTTCTGAAATGTCAATAAATGCTTCAGTTTATCAGACAATCATTTCTTACTAACCACAGCGACAGCAGGCGAGACACAGGGTTGCGGGCAACCCTTACGTACTTTTTTTTTATATATACAGTGTATATTTTGGGGTGCATCTCAAGGACTATTATAAATTTAATTTTCCCTTTAATATTTTAATTTTGGTTAATTTATAAAGATCTTATCTATCATTTCTCTGTTTTAAAATTAAGATATACAGCGTTATGATTAGAATTAAATTAATTGTTTGTTTTTTTTGTTTATAAATATTTTCGCATATTTTAAATATAATTAAGGTAGCAATTTCATATTTGTTAAATACATGTGGTATTCTGATTAGATTCCCTCTCTTATTTCTTTATAAAATATCAAAATACCTAATTAATGAATAATAATTAAGATAGAATTAGGCCCCCTTTTTTTGCACACGATTTTCTCATGAAGGCTGGTGGCTAAATATCTCAACTCATGCACACACCGTTATTTAGTCACTCCATTCATGAGATTATCTTAAATTTGTTATAATTAATTATTTAAATTATCATTTCTAGACTAATTGTTTTCTCAATATATTCATTACTGTAGTTTCCTAAATATACGTGAGGAATTAATTATTGCATAATTTTGCGAGAAGTGCCACTTATGTAAAATAGAATTACCGTTTTCATTTTTATGGTATATTTTCCTGAAAAAATGCCCACTCGTGAATTATTGATCTGGCAATTTGCCATCTAAAATGCCATTTCACAGTATTTTCTACTTGCTTAAAGTTAATTAGGAATTTACAGTATAACAAATGGGGAGTGGTTGGGGTGAGTTAGACATTTAACTGTTAATTTAGACTTACTATTGTGAGTATAATTTCCATTAATTTCCCTTTAATTCATTAACCTGTGACCTGGGGTTATGACCTTGCGATGTCTCTGTTTCTATGTCTGTAATCATGCAATGTTAAAGTGATTTTTGTCTCGCCTGCGACGAATGTCGCGAAGCGAGACATAGCGACCATAGATTCCGTCGTCGTCGTCGTCGTCGTCGGCGTCCAACTTTTGGTTAACCCAAATGTCAAAGTTTTATAAACTGCAATAACTTTCTCAAATTTTATTCAGTCTTCTTGAAATTTGGACACAATATTCAGTATGGATAAAAATTTATATCCCAAGTATGATTTTGAAAAAAAAAATTCAAATTTTTCCGTATTTTTTCCTTAAGTTGGACTTAGTTTTTTCATGATAATTTATGGTGAAGACCTATATTCCAGCAACTATAAGTTATAGGGATATGATAATTAGTCAGTGGATACATCATGGGTAACCACAAACGTCAGTACCAGAATTAGGTCATCTTGACCTACATTTTTC